GATGGCTTCCGTGGTGATATCAAAGGTGAGATGAAAAGAAGAACCAGAAGACACAGGTTTAGAGTCAGGAAGAGTTTTTGCTTAGGCATCCCAGATAGAGGTGCCTGAGTTAGCATCACTGTTTTTAAAACAATGGCTAAACAGTGATCAAGTGTTTGTAAATTAGACACTACCAGATTCTCACAGCCAGTTGATAAGGTAATATGAAAAGTTTTCTAATTAATAGAAGAAGTTGGTTGTTAATAGACACTACAGTCTTTCTGTGGGTGCTTATGTTCAATGAAGATAAAACAGATTTACTTTGAAAAAATAAGCAGGAAAGAGTGTCTCTTTTCAGATTCTTCTATTCAATGGGTGTTAAAGAATGGAAAACCACTTTTAAATATGCACTATATTTATATTTGCCATTTCTGTGTCTCTCATTTAGTAAATTATAACTTTGTCAAACTTTAGGAGTCACAGTTAAATGCTTAGCCTTGATTTTAATATTAGACCTGAGACATTTTCCATGGGTGTGCTTTTTTCCAAAAATTATTCCTCTGCCTCAGTGAGTGAAATTAAAGGGAAATAGAATGAAGACTGTGGGACCGGGAAACATTTCTTTGTCTTATTAATATGAAAATGAATATTCCCTTTTTTTCCATTCTGAATTTAGAAATTCTGTTTTTTCTATATAATACTGAAATATTTAACAATTCATAAAAAAAAATAAGCATTTACATTAAAATACAACCTTAAATAGAGCCCTGTAATTTTTACCAGGAACCTTGTAAAATATGATGAATATACATGCATGAATATTAAAACAAGAAAGACCACTCAACATTCAAATAAAAATGCAGCATTATATAAAATATAATAAATAACCAGGATATCAAATCCATAAATTGATCACTATTCCGATTTAGATTCTTTTTTCCAGTTAAGACTTTTACTATATAATTTATTATAACCTTATGAGTTAAGCATAACTAATGTGAAAAGAGAATTCAATTAATCTGACTGCTGAAATAACACAATTTTTCATATTTTGCAGCTTATTTTAATCTATAACATGTAAAACTGTTATTTTAGCAAGAAACACCTCCATATAACTAACTGCTAAATTAAATTCTCTTTTGTGTCCAAAAAAAAAAAATAGTGTTACTAGTATGAAAAAAAAAAGTTAAACTTATTTATGAGATAATTTTACTGCCTTAGCTCTTGGGCTTTGTCAAATGTTTTAAGTTTTAATATAGATTATATAACTTAAATACTGTATTTACAAAATAGAAACATTTTAAACAAAGTACTTTACAAAATACTGTCTTTACACATTTAAAGGGTGCTTTTTCTTTACAATGTATGAAATTATATTTTTACCTCTACTTTTTGCCTCTACTTTTCTCGCATGTTTCAGGATTCTCCCCCCTAGTATCTCAGAGGTGGGTTTTTAACAGTGGAAACTGGTCTGTGATAAAAGTATGAATCTAAAGATGAAAGACGGCTATATACCTATGGAACTTTTTCTAGATTCTCTCAGTTTAAAGGCACTTAAAATCTAAATCATCCATTTTCTTTTTACATATTGATTCTTTGTCACTAAACATCTGTAACAAGGATTTTTTAGGGATCACTTAGGAAGGTTCTTTTTTTGATTACCTTTCTTTGGAAGTTCATGAAGGGATAAGTCAGCACCCACTGCTTATGTTAACTTTTCAACATCTTCTGTCTATGCCCAAACAGTATAATCTCTTCAATTAAAATATTGACAGAATAAATGAGATTCGTGTTAACGTCTCCTTGTTGCTATAAGAGGTGTCTTTTAAAAATGAGTAATGATCACCCTCCATTATTGAGTCCTGTAACTAAGTTCCATATTCAAGGATCTTATACTGAGTATGGCAGGCCTCCTGGCATGAGGGATCTTTCCTGTTATTTCTTGCTTAGGAAACAGATTGTCTTCCTTATTTGTCAATATATAGTCCCCAAATCACCAAAAGATGAATATAAACCTTTTTAATGTTAGAATCTCAAGAAATCCACATGATCAATGGGTTGATCTGGCAAAGAAAAATATGCTATCAAGTAAAGGAAACTCTCAGAGAGGTCCAAGGTTCTGGGGATTTCACTGTAAGAGTCAACTTTACTAGCACTGCACAGGGAGAGGCACCCCCTGGCTGCAATGACATTGTATATTGCTGAGGCGTCTTGCCCAATGCTGGATGGAGTGGTTACTTGCACGTGTGGACATCAGTCATGCTTTCACACCTCCTGCAACGGACATAGCAGCACCAGATGAACTTACACTCACACCTCTCCACATGCCTGACCACATGTGTGTTGTAGCCTCGGCCACAGCAGAGGAGGTTGCAGCCGTCTGCACCCCCTGAAGTACGGTTGCATTCTCTGCCTTGTGTCCCTGGGATTCCCAGTTTCTTATCTTCTACACAGTAGTTGGGAGATTTATTAACATAGAGCAGATCATCTTTGTGGATTGGTATTTTCCTCTGATCTTTTTCTCTCCTGCGCATTTTCCTCTTTATTTTGTCTGATATCTGGATACTGTTTTCATATTTATCCTTCAACAAATGGCCAATCTTTTCAAAAGAAGACATGGTTTTCCAGCATGTTTTCACAGCACAAGAGCCGGAAACTCCGTGGCAGCGGCAGTCTACTGACATCAGCTTGGCGACAGCCTGAAACCAACAGTAACTGTGTTCAGCTATCAATCATAAAGTGTTTTACTCAACAACGGAAGCATAGTATATCTAATCACTTAATTTTCTGGGTCTATTTTCTCTTGAATAAAAATGATGGTTTTGAACATAAATAATCTTTTAAACTGCATAGACTTCAAATGTTTTGTCCTTTGGTTTTTGTCCCAAATGTTTGTCCAAATTTCTTGACCATTCAGATCAAACCTTTCCAAGTTGTACTTAAGGTAGTGGACCAGACTAATATTAGTGGAGATTATCTGAGATGACAAAAGGAAATTACTTCTATTTCTAATCCCTGGTCTAATTTCAAATACGGTAGGATGCTCATGCATGCCTGCATGTTCCTGAAACAATTCAACTCCTCATTTATCAGAATTCAGCTCAGGGACCAGCAACATCAGCATCACTTGTGAGAAATGCAGGCTCTCAGGCCCCACTCCAGACCTGAAGAATCAAAAGCTGCATTTTCACAAGATTGTCATTAAAATTTGAGAAGCACAGAGTGAGAAGTTACCCTCAGCTCTCATGGTGCATAGAAACATCATGGAACTTTACAAATAATGCTCAAATGTCTCAGATTCTGATTTCATCGGTCTGGCTGGGGATGGGGTGTCCAGGCTATGGTATTTTCACCAAGCTGCTGAGATTATTTTAATGCGCATCCAGGGATAAGACCTATCGATTCAATGGAGAGTTCTCAAGTTTGAACACTATAAAAGTCAATTACATATAAAGAGAGGGGGGAAGGTGGGGAACAATGCTATCTCCTGGTTCCAGGCCACATAAGAAACTATGACAAATCTGGTTTAGTTGGTAAAAAGGAGAAGGGGCTACAGTGTGGTGGTGTGCTCCCCCTAGCAGATTCTCCTTTTCTGGGAAATTAATTCAAAACATATGTCCTATCCTTGATTAATTAGTAGCAGTATCCTAGCATGGAAAATAGTAAGGCGATAATGTTTATGTAAGTTTTCCAATTCTAAGTGCTAAGTTCAATTTAAACAGACTAAGAAATTAAATGAAACTACATATATTTGTAATAGCCCACTGCCTGGCACACACTAAGGTCTCAATAAAAGCCCCTTTCTCTAAAACGGAAGGTACAGTTAGAGTTGAGATAAACATTTCCAGTGAGGCTAGGGATGCAAAAACAATATAGAGATTTCAAAAGTTTAGGGCTCTAATCTCTTACATACCAGGCTAGCCAGCATAGCTTCCTTCAATCCCCAGATGATGGCAGAACAGATTAATAAATCATCAGGGCTAGCCGTGGAGTTGACATTCTGTCAACATACTGGGTAAAATGAAAGATGGATCCATCCATTCAATAACTTGGAAATTATGGATGTAATCTCACCAAAGAAAGGAAAAACCTCACAGTTTAAATTCTATTTACAGTTCTTATCAAAACTACAAAACTACAAAATTGACAGCAAAATCAAAACTACACTTTGCTATTTTGTACCAAATCTGACATCTGCAGAATGTTATGTTTTCAAACAACTATAAAAAATATCTGAACTATCTAATGAGACAATATTACACACAAATAATATTTGCAACCTCAAATAAGAGCATATGGTATTGATTTGTGCAATGCTTGATATTTCTTAGTATGTTTAAAATCATAAACAGAATAATATTTAAATTATGTCCTTTATAGCATATGGCACATATGCTTTTTTTGAATTCACAAAACTAAGAAACTAATAGATGCATCTACTTCTTCTTAACCCAGGGCAAAAGGTGTCCTGCAATTATATGACAGCAATTTATAAAGTATGTCACAGGGGCTTATTTCATTAAATTTACGGCATTTCATATTCATGAAGCCCTCAATTCTTTAAAACACTTCCGGACAAATAAATGTTCAAATAAATGTGATCTGCCTACCTTTGTTCAAATTTTAAGCTCCTGAACGTTATGAGAAAAAGAGAGCACAATCAGTGCTAGGTAATAAAAAAACAAAATTGTCCAAAGAACACTAAAAACATAACAATGTATGTTTACATGTTTAAGCTGACCACCCATCTTTACAACCATCACTTAGTGGTTTAAAGCTGTTTCTCCCCCTGGATCATGATTGAGGAGCCGACTTTTTCTTTTATTGGCCACTTCATACATCATGTAATATGCTGCCAATTTGCACAGCACAAGGGGCAGAGTAGATGCTCATCAAATGCTTATTGAATAATTGGTCCAGCTCACTTGAACAGTTTTATCTCATCCTCTGTTGGTAAACTCAATTAAGGGGGAGTAATAAAAACCACTTCTTAAACAAGTATCACTGCTAAGAGGTTAATGGTATCGTTTTGAGCCGGCTGGGCTCTCTCTTTCATTTCCCTCAGCTTTAACCCCATCCATAATAGTGTTATTCTACAAAAGTTACACACCACCTCACAGGTTGAAGGATAAAAAGAGACTGATTTTCAAATTCAATTATATCATCTGCTGAATTTGTATTGAAATTATGGGAAGATTTCCCTCCTAGAAAATTAGCCCTTTTGAATACATACATAGAATTTATAATTTTTCAGTGATGACATTTTTTAAGAGTTTTATTCTATTACCTTTGAATTATAAGTGTCTCTAACAATAAACATAATAAAAGAAATAATATTTTTATTATATTATATATATTATTTTTATATCCTAGAACATCTATAAACGTATGTACATATCCTTACAATATCTATATCTATAAACTATATAGATATATATAGCTATTCTGGAAAAGAAAGATAAATGATCTTCAAGGAAAAAATTATCAGTAACCTGCCCTAGAATTTGAAAGATTATACCCCCATAATACTCCAAGGAAAGAACTTGGACAACCTGGAATTAGAATAAAGCAATGTAATCACCACCCAGAACTGATGAAATGCAAAATTCAAGGGCAGTTAAATACACACACTTACACAAAGTTTAATTCTACAGAATTCAGTGCTTCTCAGAGCACATTTTAATAAATATTTTACCTGATTTAGTTTTAGAGGAAGAAATCTGTTGCACATAGTAGGTAGTTAGTTAATAAGCAGGTACTTATGATTTCAATTTTACAGAAAAATAAAGTCTGGTTAAGAAGTTTGTCTTACATAAGGAGAGTTGGTGATAAGTGATATAAGGTATTTATATGCAGCAGGATAATTTTAATAGAATAGGAAAAGATAAAAGTAGAAAATGCAAGCATATTTAAGGAAATTGCATGAACACTCCCCCAAAAAGTGTATTCTGGAGGTTTTCCTCTAGAATTCTTAATTAATGTTAAATAGCCATTCTGAATTGCAGCGATAGCACCATCATTTCCTGCTAACAGGAACATAAGAGAATAGCAAAGGAATGAGTGCTGTGTGGTTATAAGAAAATTCCTTTCTCTCCTCTAGTTGAGTTGTTAAGGTTTATAACGATATTAACAGAAGAATGTTTTGTTAACTATTGCAAACAGATGTGCACATTTTGGTGGAATATTTTAAAACTATGTCAGAGCAATCAGGAGGGTAACATTTAATCTACTGGGCTCCTTGTGTAAGTTTTGGTTTGATAAATTTCTAATGAAGTGAAATAGGAAAGATGCATCATTAATACTTAATGTAAACACAGAAACCACTTGAGAAGTGGTTTAAGAACTGATTGGTTCCATAATTTTGACTCAGCGGTAATGTGGCAGTTGGTGATTGTTTTTCAGTAAATTACTTTGTCTGAATTTTACAAAAATGGCCAGAAAATTGTTGTGGAACGTTTTGTGACTAACATTTCATTTTCTCAACTATGAGATGATTTAAGTTTTTATAAAAACTGCGACATGAGGTTGGACGGGTGTACGTAGGATTCTTGTTCCTCTGACCCATTTTGCCCTTTCTGTCCAAAAATATATTTGAACCTACTGAAAAGCAAAACACTATGTGTTGGTCAACTACTTATAAATATTCTTGGAATAGGTCAATGAAAATTTGGGATTGAGCCCTTCCCACTTTGTTGAGTTACTCATCATAAAACAAATTATGGGGTAGGGAAACTTAAAAGTTTATGAGGTGGACATGGGAAGAATGGAAATATTTTAAGCACACCAAAAGAAATACCCATAAATATTCCAAGTCACATTATTCCCAGAAGTTCTGCCCCTGGAAGACATCACATCATTCTGTTAGCCAATCACCATTCAGGAACATTATTCTTGGAGTCATAACTTTAGGAATGGTGTCAGAAACCAAGTGGGAATCAGAGTATTTAAGGTTAGCGGTTAGAAAATCATCTATCCTTCTCACAGTACTACTAAGCGCCAGTACCCACATTTTTCTGAACGCTTTCCTACATTTTGAGTTTGGGATTTTGAGGCTAAGAAAATCAACTCAATTGAATACAGACCTGAATTTTACTCAGAAGAATATGCCCATTAGATTAAAATCCTAATTGCCAATGTTGAAAAAATTGAGTTGATTGCTCTTCCATGTTAGGTAATAACCAGGAAACCTGTTTTTTGGTGTTTTTGTTTTGTTTCCCATCCACAGAAAGAAAAATACAAAACTATGTTGAATTATAATACCTCATGAGAAAATAAAAACAACAACAAAAACACCAGCATAGTACCTACCAAATAACCAGGTAAACATTTTCTAATATTTTAAGCTTTCATCTAAATGTGAAACAATGTGAAACAAAAATGAACAATGTGAAAAAAAATTCAGTAGAGAAAACTCAGAGATTTATACAAAATGTACATATATGCATAAGTTGAATTGTTTTCAGGCTAGTTAGGATAACAGCAAGAACCTAGGTAATGTTAGAAAATTATTTTTTGCCAGTAAAAGTGGATTAAAATTAATGCTGAATAAAAGGTATGTTTTTAATAAAGTCAGAATATAAATAATAATTTAAGATTAACGTCATAGTTACAGAGAGGAATATTACCTACCTAGTTTGAAAAACACACAGGATAAAATAAAATCAAATAGCTGCCGAATGTTACCAATAAAAGTATATTTATGTTTTAGGGTTATTTACAGGACCCAAGATGATTTTATTTAAGAGAATCAATTATAACATGAGATTTTGTGTTTTGAATTTCTAGTTTATTAAAAATCCCTACCAAATTTCCTTAAAAAATGGCTAAGAAGGCTTAAGCTCTGTTAATAGCAAGCATTCATTTATTTGTTTTCTTGTTTTAAAATTATATTAATTTGAATAATCTTATGTCTAGTTTTGACTCCAGAGTTTTAACAACATATGCTAATTACATTTGACCCCTTTTAATTAGTATGCTAGAAATAATAAACATTATTTTATTGGATAGTGTTCAAATTGAAGCAACATCATACTCATTTTTTTTTAAAATGTAAAATCTTAAGAGAAAGAGACGTGCATAACTATGGTGTTAGGCAAGAGTCATTTTAGTAAATAAAATAACTTAATATTTTTAAAGAAAAATACGAAAAGCTTACATGGCTGTTTACTGACATTCCTACAATTTTGCTATTTTGAATTAAATAAATTGAATTAAAATTCAAATTTGAATTTGAAGTGTTATGGTGATGGTGATATATTTACTGACTTTTCTGTTTTTGTATTTGAAATTGACTAAGTAAAGAAAACTGGTGGTAACTTGTAGCTATTCTAAATGGGTTCCATTTATTCACTTTCCAAAAATGAAAAACAAATGCAACATATACTTTAAAGATTCCTAGGAGATATTGCAACTTGTTTTATTTATTTCAGAAGAATGTGGCAGATTGAAATGATTACTTTGGGACCTTTATAAATTATTGAATATTTACAAGAATATATGATACGTACTAATATTCGTATACTGAAAAAGTTTATTACAACGTAGAAAATATATGTTCATACAAAGGATTTAGACTCTTTTAGAAAAGTCACTATAAATTGCCAGCTAAGTTGTAGAACTCAAAATTTATTGTGTCAATTTTCACTAACGTTAATATGTATAAGTAAAATATAGCTAAAGAATGACCCATTTGAAGAAAACTGTAAAAATGTAGAATTCATAAAAGACAGTAATTACATAGCGGTTCTTCAAATGTGCCTCCTCTGAATCTTTAAGATACCTATATTATAAAATATCTATGTTTAGCATATCTATAGCTTCTTTATGCTTAGGTGCATTTATGAATTTTAGAAATGAACCTACATTGCTTTATAATAAAATAACTATTTGTCTTAAAAAAAACTTTCCTTTACAAAATATATTAGTTAAGCGTGTGTATTCACTAAGAATGTTTGCTAGAAAAAGGTAAGTACAAAACTCACAACGTGTTTAGGAAACACTGCCCACTAAAAAGTAGATTTCAAAAAATATAATAAAAATTTAAATTGGAGGAAATGAAATTTGATTCAGCCCTATAAGAAAGGCATATACTGTAGATCTTATTCTGGCTCTGCAACTAAGGGGGTAGAACCAATGAAGCCTACAGGCACTTGTGCATCTATTATATTACAATTAAAGTTTTAGGCATACACAGTATACAACCACAAACACATCCTATAACACGATTTAACTCGTATCAGATAGAGAACCAAAATTGTGATTAGTACATATTCATGAAAGAGTATATATATATATATGTGTGTGTGTTATGTAAAATATATGCAAATGTGTGTGTACACATACACGCACACACACACACACACACACACATGAACACACATTCATTCTAAACAAAGCCTCCTATTCATCCTCTTACCAGAGAAGAAATTTTTCAATTGCTTACCATGGATGCTTTAATGCATATATATTTAGAAAAGAAGATTTTCTGTGTCTGTAGTCTTTGTAAACAATGTTAATTCTCAGCGTCTCACTTGAAGGCTGCCAGTGTTAGGTTTTTAAGTCATTTGGACAGATTCATCCAGATGTGCTGTCCTAGTTAATTACCTGAAGGCACTGGATTTTGATTATTCCGTTTTCTAATACATACCTGCCTTCCAGCTTCATTGTTATGTAGGTTCATTGCTAATAGTACTTTGTTTTCTTTGCCCGTGGCGTTTTTGATGGGGAAATCTAGGAACTTTCTGCTGAACCACATGCCATACTGGACATCATCGGAGCAGCCCCCCCAGTGCCAGCCTTCACTTGCTGAGCCGCCGTTCTGCAAGGTGGTGTCACAGGAACACTCTGTCATGTTGCCTGCACTGCATGATCTGGTCACAGAATGCACCAGGCCTGCAGCCATCACAGCATAAATAAATGCTGTCTCTTTGGTGCCTAGAAAAAATATAAATTGCTAAATTAGAGAGCCAGGCAACTCTCTGTTTATGTTCAGAACAAAGCCTCCTACTCATCATCTTACTAGACAAGTATTTTTCAATTGCTTACAATGGATGCTTTAACGAGTACATATTCAGAAAGGAAGATTTCCTCTGTTCTAGTCTCTTAAAAAGTAACATTAATTTTCAGTATTCCATTTGAAGAGATTGTCATATATTGTATGGTCATACATTGTCCCTTTACCTTAAAATTATCTTTTTATTTTTAAAATTTAAAATGTACGTTTGTACCCAGTTCAGTGCATATTTGACAGCCATACCTCAGTGATGCATGCTGAGTTAAAAATTCTTTGCATGGATGCTGCAAACCATAATACAACACCCAAAGAAAACCAGATTATTTTTCTTTTTAAGTTTGAAATGTGCTCTCAGAACACAAGCTGAACATTTTGGTGTGATTTTTGTTTGTATAAATAATACAAATCAAAATGAAAATTAAAATTAAGACCAAAGCAATTGGTAAGTGGTACAGTATATTTTCACATTAAAGATTAGTCTTACATTAACATGAAACAATTAAACATTTTATATAGTACTAACTAGTCCTCTTACAGTCTTAAAAGCAATGCAAAGTAAGATAAATAAAATGTCACTAGCAAAACAAAAGTTCTATTGAAAAAAAAATTGAACATTGAAAATCATGCATTTAGCACGCCTGCAGTACAGTTTGAGCTAAAATCTTTGAAAATTAAAGTCCACCAAAACATTAATAACATGGACTAGAAGGGAATCAGCAGGCAACTTTTTTTTTCTTTCCAGATGTTTAGTTTGGAGTAGAAACAGTTTCATGCCCGTCGTCCAATAAACCTTTTCAACAGCTGATGCTTCTGCATTTCAGCAACTGTGAAGAACGCGTCTTTTTTTTTTTCTTTTTCTTTCTTTCTTTTTTTTCCCCCTACGGGGGCCAGGGCTCCTTCAGAAGGGCGTGCTGACCAAAACGCAGCGGGGGAGTTGCGCGGCTCGGCGGGGGTGCGCGCAGGGACCGCGTGGAGAAGGGTCAAAGGCGGAGGGGGAACGGAAATGAACATGAAAAACGATAGCGCATCTATCAGCGCCCCAGTCCTAACACTGTTTGGATCTGCTGATATTCCAGGAACAATCCTGGCTCCCTGTACCTTTATCCTACCAAGTCACTACGCACGTGGAAGTGGAACTTTTGTTTTCCTGCAGCTTCCCGCGCTGCGGGAGTGCGCCGAGGAGGAAAGAGATAGGACAGAGAACCAAGGAGCGCGCAAGTGGTCCCGCTCAGGTTAGCCGCAGGTTGGGTGGTCGCGGACAGTCGCTTTAAAAATCACCGTTACTCTGTCAATTCGGTGCTCCTAGGAGCCAATAAAGGTGGGGCTTCGCTGCAATTAGCCACTTGTCCAGGGCTTGGTGCGCAGCGGAGCTGGTTAAATCAAAGCAGATGCGGCAGCCGCATTCCCCGTGACCGACATCATGTTTCTCCAGCTGGTCACCCATGTAGGGGGGCGCTAGGGGTCCGAGGGGGCCGGCGGGGTAGGAGAATTAGAGTTTTTTTCCAACTCTGGTGGGGCGCCGCAGGAAAGAGGAAGAGCTCCAGCCCCGAGCGCTCCACTCTGGACCTGGGGCGTCACCTCCCTCCAGGCTCGCACCTGCACCCCAGGTCTGGCCTCTGAAGCTCTCAATCCCCGTGCACTAAAGGGCCTCTTTTGGAACTTGGAGAACTACAAAACCAAGTAGCAAGCACTATTTATTTGTAGGAACCGGTGGAGGAGTTGTCGCCTTCCGTCCCCCACCAACCCCTAAGGTCCCGGAACTCACCGCTGCTCAGCTCGTAGCCGAAGAGGGGGCTGGCGCCCATCGGGACGGTGGTGGAGGCCGCGGTGATCATGCAGTTCCATCTCTCGTGTCTGAACTGGCTCCTGCACTCCTGAATGCCCAGCCGGGCGCCCTCTCGGATGCTCGGCAGCAGGTACGGTTTCCTCTTGCACAGCTCCTTCTGGCGGCTGTTCAGAGGCAAGTTGGCACAGCCCAGCTTCTCCGGAACCCCGAAGGAGGCAATGCCCAACCACCTGTAAGACACCGCCGCCCATAGCGTAAGCCGCTCCCCAGTCCCAGATGTTTTCCGAAAAATTAGGTCAACTCCTCCGAGGGTCCAGGCCCTTCTCCCCCAGCCTCATTTGGCAGTTCCCTGGGATTGGGTACCCCTTTTGCCACCTACCCGATGCGTCCCTGCCACCTCTATACTCACATCCAGTTTCCCTGGGCTCCGCAGGGGAACAGCACTAGCAGGGCAGCCCACAGCGCGCACAGGCGGGCCAGTCCCAGGAGCGCCGCCCTGTCCATGGCCCCCGCATCAAGTCCCCCAGCCCAGGCGCTCCTCTTTTGCCCTCCCTCCCCAGAGGCCTTTCGGGTCGGAGGTCAGTCGCCCAGCTCCAAGTTATCCCTCGCCCTCTTCCTCCTTGCATACAACATTAAAAGGCTAGCAGTGTTAGGGGCTCTCAGCAGCTTCCCCCTCGTTTGCAGCGAGCAGTAGGAGAGGTAGAGAGAGCAGCTTCGGCCCTTCTCCTGCGCAGAGGTGGAGATATGCAGGCGATGAGGGAGCGCCCCTCGCATTCCTAGGTGAGAAACTTCTGTTGATGTATCAGCGTCTCCATCGCCCCCGGTCTCTCCTCCCATCTCCTCCCCGTGGCCGCGCCTGGCGCCTGATTGGCTGAGCAGCAGCCCCGCATCTCGTCATCTCGGGAACTCAGGCTCTCATTGGTGGAGAGCGGCTCCGAGGGGGGCGCGCCCGGCCTCCGGGACAGCGTGTCCAGACCCGGGTGTGTCATGACCTTTCCTGCTGTCACAGTCTCCTTAGAGCGGGTCGCCGTGGGGTTGATTCAACCCGAAGACTGACAGGGCGCTTCTGTCTGAGCAACCCTGGGGCAAGGCGTGGGTTTGATGAGTCCCACCCATCCCACCAACATCTGGGTTACCCTCTGGGTGTAGTGGCTGGAAAATGTCACTGTCCTTCTTTTTTTCTTCTCCTTCACCTCACAGGAGAATAATCTTCTTGAGTCAGAGTTGGTACCAAACAAATTGACCTTCAAGTCCCCTGCTTGAGGTCCCACTGTCAGGAGACTTTGGAGAATGGATGAAGTGCTGTCAGGCTTACAGTCACCGTCATTTATGTATGCATTTATTTTGAGCAAAAGAGAAGATTCCAGCCTGGCATCTCATCTGCCATATTTAAATCCTGCTCTGTGATTTCCTTTTCCCTGTTTGTCTTATTGTTCCCTGCAGTCCCTGAGAACGCTGTCGGTCCCCTGCAGAAGATGGGGACAAAGAAAGTGAGAGCTGTCTGGAGAGGTCTAGAGTACATGAGAAATGTACTCTGACCTTTTTTTCCAGTTCCACCATACGGTTTTCATGGAGACCTTGGGCAGGGCTACACATTGAAGACGAATTTTTTAAAACGTACTTATTAAACACCTGCTGCGTGCCTAGTCTTGTGGGAATTCATAAAGACAAGATCTTTTTCTGCAACTGTGCAAGCCAACCACACACAAGTGTAAAAGAAAATAATTTTAGATGATCAGTAAGAGAGATTAAAGTTCTAGCAGGGTACTCCGTGGAGCCAAAGATGGTTCAGAAGCAGGAAGTGTTCCAGTCACTGGCAGACTTGGAGGTTAGTTAATCAATGTTTTGTAGGATGGAAGGTCTCTGAGAGCTATCTAAAGGCAAGTGGAAAATATTTAGCTGTGGTGTCAGAAAAGCCTGCCTCACCTAATTAGACACAAGAGGTGTTTCTAAGAAGCATCTTCTGTCCTCAGAGATCTTCTGAAGTGCTGATAAATTCTCATGGTGGATGCATCAGCTCAGTGGGTGCCCAAAGCCAAATTACTTAAATAAAGGATTTGGGGTCAGGTGCGGTGGCTCACACCTGTAATCCCAGCACTTTTGGAGGCCAAGGCCAGCAGGTCACCTGATATCAGGAATTCAAGGCCAACCTAGCCAACATGGTAAAACCCTGTCCCTACTAAAAATACCAAATTAGTTGGGCGTGGGGGTGCACGTCTGTAATCCCAGCTACCTGGGAGGCTGGGTCAGGAGAATTGCTTGAACCCAAGAGGTGGAGGTTGCAGTGAGCTGAGTTGGTGCCACTGCACTCTAACCTGTGCCACAGAGCAAGACTTCAACTAAAATAATAATAATAAATAATAATAATATAAAGAAAAGAAAAAATCAAGAAAAGGATTTGATAACGTTTGCTGCTCCTATATCAATCCGCTTAGAGCAATAAAAGCCCACTGAAATTTTCATCCTATCCCATTCACTTCTTTATCCAACAAATGTTTATTGAGTGTACACTATGTACCAGACTCTAAAGCCAAATTTTAGATAACCAAGTTGATGATGGAATGCAGATACTGATCCAGAAATGTTTTGGCTAATGGCTAGTGGCCTCTGAAAGTCAGAGGTTTCATCCAAGCTCATTTTATTCTGTGAGCTTCTCCAAGACGGACCATGGGATTCCTTGCTGTACCCCTGCCATTGGGCCCAGTATATGAGATCCTGGTTTTGAACACAATTTATTGAGTGGGTTAACCATGAGGAACATCCTGAGCAGATATCTAAGAGGCCTAAATGCTGGAACTAGATAAATTACTTCATTTCAATCTTGGGGTTGGGGATGCTGGGCAATATCCATACCTTAGGCTGATTTCAGGGCTAACAGTGGTAGATGCTTTAAAGAGGTTATTTGATTTTCTTTTTTAAATTCGAAAATATATATTGAGTCTCTATTATGGGTTAGAAAGTGGGGATAGCACTGAGTCAAATGATTGTGGCATTCACAGTCTACTTGGCAAGACAGACAAGGGAGCAGGCAGCTACAATACAGTGCAATAAATGTATGAAGCAGAGTGTGCTGTGAACACAGAGAGGAAGATTATTTCAGTCTTGGAGATCAGAGTGGGAAAGAGACACTTGAATGTTGAATTCATTGTTATTCTGGGAATCTAGCGAGTCTAGACATCCAGATAAAGCCTTTGGGGTACAGTCAGAGGATATTCTGTCCTTGCAGTTTGAGACCACTGTGTAACAAACATTCTCAAACACAAGACAAAATTTTAAGGCCTGAGTCCTCTTGTACCTCTTTTGTGTGGGCTGGAGCCTTAGGGGTCATTTTGTCTTTATCTTCAAAGCAAAGAAGACATATTTCTGGGAGTTGACCCAGCTGAAGAAGGAGAGTTTTCATTCAGCCACCAGACATTTGAATGACAATTTTGTGCCAGGTATTGTGAAGTTTCATATTCTGAGAGCTGTCATGTCCTCAACTCCCTCTTACTCTCTTTCTTTGTCTCCCTGTTTCTGTCTCGTTCTCCATCTTTCTCTACACCAAATTGATACTCACTTTACAGATGAGGAAATTTATTTGAGGAGATTAAGAAACTTGCTCAAGGTTACTCAGCTAATAAGTAGTAGGGTAAAACGAAACAAAATAAAAACCTTCAACCTTATTTTAGAGGCCCCTCCATTTTTTTTTTTTTTTTTTTTTTTTTTTTAGGTGAGGTGTCACTCTATTGCACAGACTGGAGCATAGTGGCTCTATCATGGCTCACTACAGCCTCAACTCCCAGGCACAAGCGATCCTCCCCCTCAGCCTCCTGAGTAGCTGGGACTACAAGTGTGCACCATTATATTCAGCTAAATTTTTTATTTTTTGCAGAGACAAGGGTCTCACTATGTTGCCCAGACTGGTCTCGAACTCCTGGCTCAAGAAATCCTACATCACAGTTCACAGATCTCTCCACTGAAACGTTGAAAAAATTGTTTTGTTCTCCAAAAATAAACAAATCCTACCATAGGGAGGTCTTTTGAGATGCCCCTGTGAAGCGAGCTTCTCTGAGGCAAATGATGAGATGCATGGGTGCCTTTCCATCTTTCTGGTTTTGCCCTCTGTGGGTTTTTGCAGGCTGAGAGGGGCAGTGGAAAGACCACTGGGCTGGGTTGGGTAAACTAGGGCTCCTGTCAGCAGGTGATGATATGTGGACTACTCATTTCAACTTTGAGTCTCAGTTTTTTCATTTGTAAAATTATCAAAATTTAATTTTCAGATCTGAATCTCTTACTGGAGCTGCCATAGGGCTGGAGGGAGGAGGATGGCACTTGTGTGTGTGCAAGCGCGCGTGCATGTGGTGAGGAGGGCGAAGCTGCATTTGCTAGGGGACTGCAGGAGGAGGAAACCTTAGCCATTGACAGGGCCTTGTATACCTGAAAGACGGTTCAATCCCCAAGGTGGCATAGGCTAGGGTGGCATAGGCTAGAGTTTTTTGGCCCCCATCTTGTATTAATATCTCCAGTTTCACTTTTGCTTCTGGATTTCAAGGAAAATGAATCTATATTAATGGCAGAAATCATTTAAAATGGTAAAATGGTTGAATTTTAAAATATCTTGCCAAGTCATGTGAAATTTTATTTGGAGAATATAAGAAGTTACAGATATTTTATTTATCCTGACATATGAAAGTGAGGAGCCCTTTCCTAATCTAATTTACGTCCATTAATATAAAGCAGCTCAACTCTACTCTCGTTGGAAGGGATTATGCTATTTAGACTTGACGAATGAAGGCTAAATCAGATCCAAACATGTACAATTGCATATTTCAAATTGTTTATTTCTTTTGCAGCAAGTAGGAGCTTCTTTTCCTATTCATTATTTTTTGTTTCGTGACTGAAGAGAGGACAAAATATTAATTGACCAATAGAATGTGAGATCTGAGGCTTACTGTACTATACACACTTTTTAAGCTTCAAGTGTCCATATGTGTAAAATGTTGTAAAGATTTTATCATTAAACATTAAATAAATAAATAAATAAAAGCTAATTTTATGTCATGCCGTGATCTGAGCTCAGTTGACTAGAACTTGATTAGTGATACCAAGAAAATCACAAGGCAGCAAGTTGCATAGGTTACTCAAGCACTTGCAGTCTCTGGATTCCACAGACAAGGCATACACTTAAACTCATTTTCCTAGCAGGAGGTAAGGTGCCCTGAGCTGTATTCTGGGAAAAGGATTTAGGAAGGGGAGAGCCAGATTTCAAGCATATTCATTTCACCCAAAAGAGCTTTCTTAAGGTACTGAATCTGTGACTGTGGTCATCTCCAATCAGCAGAGCCAACTGAACCAGATAAGTAGCTGGACAGCAAGAAATCCCACCTTCCACCCAAGACAGTAGTAGATTACTAGTTGTAGAACACAGGGGAGCCTCTTCCTTCTGAGAGTTTTCTCTCAGTCCCTAGGAAACTCAGCAAAAAAAGTCTGCCTGCAGAGATATGCCTTGGACTCTGCCTCTGGCAGCCCATCAGAGGACGAGACTTCTAAGGGCCCTGTTGTAAGAATTTCTGCTGCAGATCACAGAGACTTATGTGCTGGAAACTGATACCAGAAGCACCCCAGCTGGTCTTAACTCCCATGATAGAACAGAAGACCAGAGGTGACTTTTTACATAACTGGGTCCCCATCCATTCTATTTTAAATTCCACCTGGATGCTACAAGTGTGGAACAGAGCACAGGCTTGTGACCACTGGCTCTCAGAAGGGGGTGGAGAATGGTATTCTGGATGGCCTGCTGTCCTTTAGTGGCCAGAA